CATGCTTAATGGAAGAAACCAAGTCTCGGAGGTGCTAGGAGGGTGGGGAGGGTAGCTCTGAGCACCCCCACTTTTTCCTAACTCCCCCTCTAGGGGTGCCCCACGGTGCCAGGGTGAGGCCTCAGGTTTGCACAGGGTGTCTGCTGGCCCCAGGTGCTCTCGGCACATGGAGGCCTCCCGGAGCGCCCAGTGGCAGGTGCTGGCCTCGACTCCCCGCCGTGCAGACTTCCCGGCCTGGTCTTCCCCCGTCTCCAGCAGGTCAGCGAGACGCTGCCAGTCCGCCTTTCCTGCCCACTTGCAAGGACCCCATGCAGGAGAGAGGGAGGCGAGGGGGCCAAGGAGCACACGGCAAGCAACTGCAGGGCGGGACCCAGACAGGCCGTGCTTCCGGGGCTGGGCACGGGCACGCTTCTAGAGATTCTAGAACAGCTCTAAGCCTCCTCAGAGGAGGCGAAGGCAGGTGGGATCATTGAACCCAGGGTACCTCGTGGTTCTCAGGCAGCCTGAACCCCAAACTACCAGCCTGCTCAGTCCGTCTGTCCTGTCTGTTTCTTGAGGCCACCTGTAGTTACCCTTTGGTGAAGAGATTCAGAGGCTGCTGAGTCCCCCCTGAGCACTGAGGGCCGCCCAAGCCCCCGGCTCAGTTCCACGGTGCCTGGGATGAGGATGGCAGGGTCCTGCCCTCGTGGGCCCTCCAGCTGAAGAGATTACCAGGCACCCAATTTTAATTGTGCAAGGAGAAAGAAGGAAACACCATCAGAATGCTCTGGAAGTTCAGGGAAGGGAAAATTCACTTGGAGGCATACTTGGGGAAGGCAGCATGGAGGAGGGGTCCTTTGGGCATGGCAGGAGGCAAAGGGTTCTGCAGGGCGGTGACGCAGTCGCAGAGCTGTGGGAGCGTGGGCGGCCGTGAGACAGTTCTGCCGTGCCTCTGGCCTTGCTGGGCAGCTTGCTCGTCTGTGAAGTGGGACCTTCTAGCTCCCTGGCGACAGGATTGTGCTGAGGATGGAGCCTGCCTCTCTGCAGGCTCGAGGGGCGTGTGTGTGCCCGTGTACGTGTGTGTCATTGGCCGATGCCCGGTGACAAGGAGCCCTGAACCACAGGCTCAGAGGTGGCATTGGTGTAGCCCGTGCCCCACCACAGCACCCTGGGCACATCAGCCCTCCTTCCCCAGTGGTCCCTAGGGAGATTTCTGCTCCTGCCAATGTCCAGCTCTTACGCCAGAGCAGCCTGGAGCCTGCCCCGGTGGGTGCCAGGCCAGAGGGGTGATTCGGGGCTGCCTTGCTCTGGGCAGGGGCCTTGGCCTCCACCTAGGCCGGAGCCCCGTCTGGCTCTTGCCTGTCTGGCTCCCCACCCCCAGCTCGGTGAGGTCAGGGAACAGGTATGCCAGGAATGCGGGAGGAGGCGGGGCTGGGTTTGGATAACCCTGGGGTAAATATTTGCCTGGCTCCTGGAGCCAGCACTGGCCGCCAGGGGAGGAAGGGGCCTGCCCCCAGGTCACTTAAGGGGATGCGTGCAGGCTGGCAGGGGGAGGTGGCTCTCCAAGGTGGGGAAACCCGTGTCACCCTCAAGAATCTGCTGGCTGCTGGACCAGACCCCCTTCGGACTGTAAAATGGGACCGAGCAGCGTGGGCACCTGAGACTCAGTGGTGGGAGCCGGCTCAGGTCGGTTCAGCCAGGGAGCAGCAGGTTGGACCAGGTGTGGATGGGTGCCCACGTGACGACAGCTCTGATCCCCACTCGGCCACTGGTGACCTTGCGCAGTTGCCCCTCCTCCAGGCTTTGGTCGTCACCCTTCGCTGAACTCTTCCTCCATGGCACCTGTGTCTGCACTCCACATGCCTCACTAAGGCCTGACAGCCACTAGGGACACAGGGGCATGTGGTCAGCAGCAGGTGTGAGGCGCTGAGGCCTGTGTCCTGGTGTGGGCCCTGCGGCATCCGGCCCCCTCCCCAGTGGTCTGTGGGAGGTGCGTGCTCCTGCTAAGCCTGGAGGCTCTTCTGGCAGGGGACAGCTAGAGAGCAGTCAGTCCCTGTTTGGAGAGGAGACGGGGGCTCAGAGAAGGCCAGTGACTTGCTCAAGGTAGCAATGGCAGCAAATGGCAAAGCAGGGATTCAAACCCAGCTCTCCCCACCCTTGCCCTCTGACCTCACCACGGAGGCCAGGGCCAGCGTTCCAGCCCAGAATGTGGACTCCAACCGTTGGCAGCAGCTGAGAGCAGCTGACCACTTAGCCTCAGGCCTGGAGCCACAGGCACGAAGCCCTCCCGGCACCCCGCGTCCTAGATACCCTGTGTCTTGGGCACCTCTGCCCTCCAGGAATCCCAGATGGAACTGCGTCCCTCTGGGCCAGACACAACCACAGATCAGCCTGGCCAGGTGTCTCCCCCCGAGCCCACACCCATGCCCACACCCATGCCCTCCCAGGGGATCCCGGGAGGCGGCGGGGACAGGAAGGCAGGCGTGGTTGGGGTTAGTCCCTGCCCCCACGTGACCTCTGCCTTGTCTGAGACCCAGCCATGTCGGTGACCAGCTGTGACCCCTCCAGCAACCCCGTTCTCCCTGGGAGCCTCAGTGATGTGTTCTGCAAAGTGTGCTTTGCCTCGGGAGCTTCAGATGCACCGGGAGGGTGAGGGGTGTTTCAAGCTGCCCTTTCTGGCCTCAAAGTTGGAAGCTGCCTGCCTTCAGGGTCTCGCACACCCCCAGGGGTGGGAGTCCGGAGCTGAGGGTGCCCAGGAGAGCCCTGCCCCACGGGGACACTGAGTGAGCCCCCACTGCCCACAGCCCGCCACCGGCCCGGAGGCTCAGGCTGCGTCTCCCCCGTGGCACCAAGGGCCCTTAAGAAGAGAACATTCCCCTCCAGGCCCTCTTGCTTATCCCTGTGGCCTGGTGGGCCGGAGCAGCCAGGGCCCCACCTGGTCTCCTGCCTTCTCCTCTCCCTGGTCTCTCGGGACTTGGGCCAAGCCCACACAGGCCGCTAGCCTCAGCGCCGGGCACCGGGCCGGGCCCCTGGTCCCTGAGCCCCGCTTCCCCCGAGTGAGCGGGGGCCCGCACGGACTCGGGGGAGCCGGGTGCCAGGCGCTGGCTGGCCACCCCGCTGTGGGCGAGGGTGAGCGCGGGCGGAGTGCCTCCCCCCATCCCAGCTGCCTTCTTACGGGCTCCTTGTTGGCTGAGCGACCTCAGGGGGTTATGCAACCTCTGGGCCTCCTGGGGGAACTGGGGATGCTGGTCTCTACCTGACAGCATTTCACTGGGGGTTAAAGGCAACATCCCAGGCTTAATCCACAATAGGGACCTAGTAAAGGCAGGCCCCCTACTTCCTGTCTCGTTCCCGGGTCTGGGGGCGGGGGTCCACTGCAGGCTCACCATCCTCCTACCAGGGCCTGAGTTCGAATTCTAGCACCCTCACTTATTGCTCTGTGACCTTGGACAGGTCCCTCCCCTCTCTGATCTCGAAGGCCCAACACCAAGGCGCGCTGGGGGCTCTGGGGGCAGGCAGGCACGTGCGTGAGCACTGTGAGCTGGGGCACCTCGGAGAGATGGGTCCGGCGACATCACATCTTGGGGCCTGGACGGCGCTCAGAGTGAGCGAGGGCTTTCCGGCTCTGGCTTCTGTCTCAGCTGCCAAGATAATTATTTTCTCTCTGTCAGCGGCTCTGCTGGCCAGCTCGCCCTTGGGGAAGGCCTGGCCGTGGGCGGTAGCGAGGCAGGAGGCCGATTCCAGTTCTGCCCCGGCCACCGACTTGCTGCCTGACCCTGGGATGGGGGCAGATGCTGCCCTTCTCCTGGTCTCAGTTTTCTCCTCTGTGAAATGGAAGAGTTAGGATCAGTGAACTCAAAGACTGTTTGGATTCTTAAGGGGAGCAGAATCTGGGGGATGTGGAGACGTTCCCTTTCCGTGTGGCTGGGGTGGGGACCCTGGGCCTGGCTTGGGGAGCTTGGAGGAGGCCACACAGGCACAGAGAGGCACCCTCACAGCTGGGACTTCAGAGAAGGCTGCCGGCCAGGCCTCTGGTTCTGGTCCTCCCTGGAGTAGCACGGGGCTCTGTGGGCAGCGGGGGGCATGTTGGTGGCCCACTGAGGAGACGGGCCAGCAAGGATGGTCGTGTGCCCCCACGCCCAGTGTCCTGTGCTCTGCCTGCCGCTCCCTCTGCCCTGAGCACCACCGTCGCTGGCCTGGGCCCTGGAGCAGCCTCCTCACTGCTCTCCCGCCGCCTCCCGTCCCTTCCAAGCCCATCTCCCTCGGCCGCCTTGGGGGCTTCCCAAACTAGAACTAGGGTCATGTCCTTCCGCTGCCCAGACCCTCCTGTGCCGCCCGGTCCCCACTCACCCCTCCTCTCCTCGCTCACTGCACCTGCCACACCACCCCCTCTGAAGTCCTCCGCTGAGCCAGGCTTCCCTCCCTGTCTTGGGGTCTTCACAGACACTGTTCCCTCTGCCTGGTGTACTGTTCCCTGCATTTTGCCTTCCTCTGTCTCATCCTTCAATTTCACTTTCCCAAAGAGGCCTCCTTGGACCTTGCGGCTCTGCTGCGTGGCCCCTGTCCTTGTTCTTTCCGGCAAGCACCACTTTCATTTTGTGTTGTGATTCTCTGCTCATTGTCTGAGTCCCCACCCTGCAGGGCATGGGCCACTGTCACAGCCCCATGTGCTCGTTAAATGTTTGTTGAATGAATGAGTGGACGCCGAGTGCCTTTGTCACCATGTCTCTTTGGGTCCTACCAGCAGCTGTGAGAGGGATTGTGATCCCATTTGACACGTAAGAGTCTGAAACCCAGGGAGGCTGGGCACACACCCAGTCACATAGCCGGTGACTGGCAGAGGTGGGGTGTCGAGCGCCTGTTTATGTCTGGGCACCCCCTTCAGACTCCTGCTGCCAGATGGGTGGTACGGTTTTGCTTGCTGTGGGCTGTCCCGCAGGTGTTGGGTGTCAGTGGCAGGGTCAGTGCCGGGGCCCCTGCTGGGGATGGACCCACTGACCCCCGCCCTCTTCTCGTTGCAGCGGGATGGAGCTGGAGTGAGGCGGAGGGGCGGCCAGTGCTGACCGGCGTGAGGGACACTGGTGATTCCTGGATCACTGAGGTGGGTGAGCTGCTGGGCCGGATGCTACGGTGGTGGCGGGCACGCCCCGTGGGGACCGCAGGTGCTGGCCCTCAGCACACTGCACCCTTGACTTGGGCCTCAGCCCTCTTTGGGGGGTGGGGGTAGGCTCAGGCCACCTTTGCTGGGACCTCATCGTGCCCAGATGGGCCTTTCCTATCCCTGGCGCCTGGGGGCCTCTGTGGCCTGGTCTTCCTCTAGAGTGGCTGCCAGGGGTGGAGGGGGGGGTGTGCCCAAGAAGGGACAGGCCTGGCTCCCCAGCCTTGGCCCCGCAGCCCTACCTGCAGCCCCTGAGCCCCATCCGGAATGGGCAGCCATGCTGAAGGAGGTCTGAGTGACAGAGGCCTGTTGGCCGGAGTGGGTGCAGCGGTTGCCCGTCCCCACAAGCTTGCCGCGCTGGGCACGTACTAGGCTCTGGGGTCAGACCGCCTGGGTTCAGTCCTCACTTTGGCACTGGTCTACTAGAGTAGCCGTGTACAGTTGCTCTATGCCTTGGTTTACCCATCTGTCATATGGGGTGGGATGGCAGTGCCTGTCCCCACCATTGCAGTGAGGGGACTGCACACCTGGCACACGGCCAGCACTCGGGATCTGTCAGCTGTTGTCCTCAAGGGTGCTGGGACCCTCCCTTCCCCCCCATCCCCTGCCCCCTGAGACCTGCCAACGCCAGGATGCATATGAACAGGTCGCTAGCAGGGCAGCGGCTGGGCCCCCAGGAAGCTCCTGAGAGCGGCTGCAGCCAGCAGGTCCGAGGCTGAGCCTCCTGGGTGGGGCCTCTGGCCTGCACACCCGTGTGTGTCATCACGGGGTGCCTTTTGGGGTGGATCACGCCTGGCCCCGTGCCCTAGGGTGACCTGCGTGATCCCTGTTTACTCCGCAGCTCTCAGCCGGGAGATGAGTGGCCTCCGCAAAAATGCTTACTTGGGCCAGGGCCTTTGTCCCGAGGCGCCGTGGCCTGGGGCCAGCCTTCTGTGTGTGTGTGTGGGGGGGGTCTTCACCTTGGCATGGAGGTCGCCCCCATCCTCCTCTTGCTGCCCCCCATTGCTCCCTTCCGTCCCAGGGGATCCCGCTCCCTGCCCATCCTCTGCGTGACCTCGGGCCAGTCCCTTGTCCTCCGTGAGAACCCGTTTTCTCGTCTGCAGACGAGGGTGATTACAGCAGCATTGCTGACAGGGCTGTTGAGAGGATGCTTAGAAGCTGCGAATATTTTTAAATGTTGCAGCTTTGTGAGCGGCGGCCACGCGCCAGGCACTACGCTCCTTCAATACATATTTCTCCCCCACGAGAGTCCCGCGGGGAGGTTTGTTTAATGCCTCATTCTCCAGAGGCTCCACATGGCTAAGAAACCCATAGCGCGTGAGCGGCGTTGTGGGGATGCGAGCTGAGGTGCGCTGGGATGGAGCGGGCGTGGACGCCTTAGAGACCAGGGCGGGGCCGCGGGGCTGGTGGCTCACGGTGGCTGCTCCAGGGACGCCCCTATTTCCGCGGGGAGCAGCCTCCCTGCCTGCCCTGGGAGCCCCGGTGCCCCCAGGAGCCAGAGGGGGCCGCCAGCTGGCGACTTGCCCCTCGAACCCAAGGAGGCCGGGGGAGCCCACTGCTCGTTGTCAGGTAACCTTTGAAATTCTCCTTCACGGTGGGTTCTCTTTTCGGATGTTTTTCAAGGTAATTCATTCCCTTTCCAGAAATTGCCAGTGGCGGAGCATTAGGCAGCTGGTAATTAATCATAGGAGCGGCTTCCAGTTTATTCTTCAAAAAAAAAAAAAGAGGAACAGAAAGCCTTGGTGGAAAAAGAAAAGAAAAGAAAACCACTCCAAGGCAAAGCTGGTAATCAATACCTCGGTGTCCTAGAAACGGCCGGGGGTGGGGGTGGCGACGTGCGGCCTTCTCCCTCTCTGCCCGGGCTGGCGCACTGGCGGCGCCCACAGTGGCAGCGTGAGGCTCTGCTCTCACCACCAGCTCCCCGTGCCACTTTGAGAAGTCGCTGCCTCTGTCTGGACTCAGCTTTGCCACCTGTATAATGGGCGAAGGGCAGATGTTAATCAGATTAGAAATTCATTACCACATCTAGTAGCTGGCACACAGTAGTTGTCCCATTGATATTTTATTAATTCAGTGAGTGACGAGTGATAATCTTGGGTCCTAGTTAGCTGTCATCAGGGAAGGAGGTGGGCCTGGCCATAGGACATTGTTTCTGTAGCTCGGTTATAATTTGGAGTGACAGGTGCGGGGATGGCCAAGCTAATGATGCCTGGGGGACTCTGTCCAGGAGAGCTTGGCCCCTCAGTGACAACCGTGCTGTCGCCTTGAAATCCTCAAGTTCAACTTTCCAAGAGTCTGAACTCTCTGGACATCTTTTTTTAAAAAGCTGCCTCCTGGAGAGGTAGTGAGCTCCTCGTTGCTAGAGCGTGTGCGAGCTGGGGGCGGGGCTGCATGGGGCACTTGGGGGCTTGGGGCCTCCCTGCATCTGGGAGGGAGCATGGGGCTCTCCAGGTTGCACCGTGGGGAGGCTGCACCGGCAGGGTGAGAACTCTGTCCCCTCTGGAGCCCCTTCCCAGAGGCCCCGAGGGAGGCTGGAGGAGGATTGTCATGCAAGACCCCAGTGCCTCGGTGCCTGCTGCCCCGATCGGCCCGACTGCGTGGACGTGAGGGCACTGAGCAGGGCTGGCAGTGAGATCTGAGCTCCTGGCACCGGGGTGGGTCTGGGGCTGAGACTGGGGTGGGGCAGGCTGTGGGTCGGGTAGGGGGATATAGAAGAAGAGAGGACCCATGGCTGGGAGTTGGGGGCCTCAGGCCTGGGCCTCATCTGCTGGTCTGTCTGGTGTGACCTCCGCAGCTCCTGTCCCCTCCCTGGGATTTGGGCCAGAGTCCTTCGGAAGAGGGCAGCAGACAGGGAACGTGTTCTCCAAGGCTTCCTTCCCCATAGAGCCCCCCCCGCCCCACCCCCGCCCGCGTGGACTGAGCATGGGAGCCGGAGCTGGGCCTGACACAGCCTTTTCTCTCTAGGAGCTTCTATCCCTCCGGCCCTACTGTGGGGCTAGTGCCCCCTGCCCAGAGTCCCAGGGCTGGTGGTGCACCCGGCCTGGGAGGGAAGGAAGGAGGGAGGGTGTGCACCCATGTGCATGTGCATGCGGTGCCCGTGAGTGGCTGTGAGGGAGCGGGTGTGCTTGTTCAGGCTGGCATGTGAGTGTGCATGAGTATGCAAGGCTAGGAGAGACCCGCCCCCCAGCGTGTGTCAAGACCCTCCCACATGTGCACCTGGCTCCACACTCAGACTGGCCTGGGGCACCCTGCTGACCATGGCACAACCCACTGAGGGACAGTGTAGGGGCTGGGTGGGCTCCTGAGGGACCCCTGAGGGGGAGGCCTCCCTCCTGCAGCTGGAGGCCCTGACAGCTCCCCATGGCTGGGGAGGACGGGGCTCGGGGGGGTCGTGCATCCCGCTGCAGACTCACACCCCTGAGTCTCTGGCCTGAAGGGCCCTGGGTGGCCCCGGGTGGCCCCCGCCGGGTGGGCCGGGTCTGCTAGATGAGTCCTCTGAGCAGCCAAGCCCAACTTGGCACTAGTCGTTTCTTTGCTTCTTTTCTTTTCGCCTTGGCTTCCAAGCTCCAGCCGGCTCTGTGTGCGTGTGTCTGGGCTCTGTGGGCCGGGGAGGGGGCAGTGGGTCTCTGTCTCCACGTCTGTCTTTTTGCCTGTCTCTCTCTGCCCTCTCCTGCCCATCTCCTCTCTTTGCACTCCTCCTAGCCGCTTCCTCTGCAGCTCAGCCTCCCTCTCCCTCCAGGGCCTCCCTTAGCCCTGGCACCTCCTCACCTCCACCCTCCTTCCCCTCAGAGTGCTCGTTTCCAGTTATCCCCACGGCGCGTCTGCACTGTGTCAGCCCCAGGGCTCCCAGAACTGAGACCTCCCGGGCTCCCCACCTGCCACCTCGGCCTTCTTTATCCAGCTCTGGCCACCGTGCCGTCCCTCCTGCCCTGTGCTTTGGAGGTGTCCGAGGCAGCGCCCCACACTCCCAGCTGCTTGGAGGCTGAGCTCCACATGTGGCCAGGTGGTGGGGGCAGGTGCTGTCCCCTCCCCGTGGCCCTGCTGTGCTGACCACCTCCTGGCTCTGCAAGGATAGGCTGAGAGCCGCACCCCTTGGCTACACTCTGCCATCCTGGGCCTGGGGGTCGCTGGCTGTGGGCCCGGGCAGGGGACGAGGTGGGCCGGCGCCCACTAACGGTGGTTGGAAACCTGGTGTTTCCCTCCAGCATTGATGAAATTCCTGCTATAATTAGAAGCGAGGTGCACAGGGGCTGGCCGCCTGGTGGGAGCGTTTGTTGCTCTTGAATAAATAAATTGTCCTCTCCCAAGGGGGCAGAGAGCTGGGGGGTGGGCTCCTGGAGAAGCGCAAGCCCGGAGGGTCTCAGTGGCCTGTGAGGTGGGCCCGAGGCCCTGCCACTCACTTGGACGTCCTCGGGGAGCTGCCTCGGTCCCGGCCCTGGTCAGCCAGTCTTCCTGGAAGTGCCCGCTGCGTGCCCAGCCGGCTCAGCCTGGCATCCGAAGCTGCCGCCATCTGGCCCCAGCCTCCTTTCTCAGCCGCATCACACGCTGGCCTCTGCCAGTGCCCTGGGCTGCAGCTCCCCTGCGCCGCCCCCGCCCCGGCTCTTCAGCACCTCCCCGCTCTGCACTGCTGCCCCTCAGGCTCCTTCTGGCCGAGCACCTCCCCTCCCCTGTGGCCACCTGCCTCCATCCCTCCAAAGCCTTCCTCAAACTGGGCATGCGCCCTGGCCTCTGCCTGCCTGAGCGCCCTCCTGAACCCCCTCCTGAACGCTAGACCCTTCCCGTGATGCCCTTGTGCCCTCGAACATGCACACCAGCCAGCCCGCCTGCTCCTTTTCGGTTTTTATTGATTATGTATTGGGATGGTAAGATATTGGCTGTATAGGGCAGATATGTTACATTCTTTTTTTCGTACGAAGTCTTCGGAGTCTGGTGTGTGTGTAACGCACTCAGCGGGTCGCAGTCCACACTGTGCAGCCGCCACCGCGGCTCCTGGCTGGCGTATTGCAGGGCCCAGCCTTAGGGGCTCCAGTTTCCTCACTTCGCAGGTGGGAGTTTGCAGAGCGTGTGCTGTGACCGTGGCTAGAACCCAGGTGACCGAACCTCACTGTGTGTAGAGGGAAGACAGAGGAAGGACAATGGGAAGGGCTCCTTCCTCCCCCCACGTTCCCCCCCTCCGCCCGCAGTGCATTTCCGTGCTCTGGGCTGCCCCTCACCTAATCCCAAAACAGGGTCCACCCACAGGCCATGCTACATGGGGGCCAGTCCTGCCCCCACCCCCAACCCCCATCCCAACAGCCTGGACCCAGGCTCCGAGAGGGACAGGCCCCGGCCCCTGCCAGGAGGGGACACTCCTGCCCTCCACCCCCTACCACATTGGCCAGGCCAGTCTGCATTGCAGAAGTGCCCAAAGGGTGTGTCCTGTTCTCCCAGGTCTCCCAGGGGGGTGGAGGGTGCCCGCAGCAGAGACGGTTCCAAGGGAGAAGAGGAAGAAGATAGTTGCCTCCCCGGAGCCTGGCTCTGTCCCCGTAGGCCTGGAGGGGTTCTCCCTAGGTGGGGTGTTTCTCGGGAGCCAGGCTGCCAGCAAAACAGTCCCTCAAGAGCTCTCCACCCTCGGAGCCCACTTTCCCCTTTGTTACGCACGCCCACCCCGCCCGGCCACTCTTGGCTGCGCGCTCCATGTACATACCGTCTGCCTCTTGTTTGCTCTGCTCAGCCGGTGTGGCGGGAAGTCACGGGAGGTTCAGGTGCTGGGCTCACCTCCCTCTGTGTGTCCCCCACCACAGGGTCCTCTGCCCAGGGAGCAGCTTCCTCCGAGGGGCCTGCCTCCTCCCACCGGCAGGGCCTGAGAGCCCCAGTGTGCTGAGCACAGAGCCCCGTGGGACGCACCGTCCCCTCCTTCAGGCCCGTGCACCCCGTGAGCTTTCCTTGTCTCTGCTCCTCCACGCCCGCCCTGCGCCTTCTCCCCCGCTGGACCACGAGCTCCGTGAAGACTCAGGGCCGGCTCTGAAGCACGTCCCGGCACAGTGCCCGCACTCCTGTGTGCCGAGGGGCGGCAGGAAGCCACAGGCACCCACCTTCTGTGCCCTTAGCTCCATGCCAGGGATGGCAACAAGGTTTAGTCTCGTCTTCTGGCTGTTTCTGTGCCTGGTAGGCTGTGTTAAGAAGGAATCCGAGGCTGTGTGTAGGCTCTCTGAGAAATAGTTATGCACGGCATGGCGCACGTGTACTCCCTCGGCCCCTGGCCCCGGGGCCTCAGGTGCACAAGACAATTCTGAGCTGTGGCCAGTGCAGGAGGAGGGAGGAGACGGGGACCTCGGTGTGGTCCCCTCAGGTGTCCACCCCACCTACTAGACAGCTGGACCCCAGAGAACCTTCCGGAGCCCCCAGGGAGCTGACTGGTTAATGGAGAGTGGGGAATCTGTGGTCTCTGAGCCTTTGGAAGCTTTCCCCTCACATCTGTCTCTTCCGTTAAGTGCGTCTCACCCCGCTTCGGCTCCGGCTTGGGAAGCAGCACATCTTGCCTCGCAGCTGTCTGGGACCCTCCGCCGCTCCCCTCGGGCCCCTCTGGGGCCTCTTTCGGAGCCCGCGGGGGCATTGCTGCCTCATAACCTCCGTGGAATGCTCCCTCGGCGCCACGTCTGTCTGGCCCACCCTCTGTCGGGTGGGACGGGCTGGCGTGACACAGCCCTCGCCGGGTGGCCCCCACAAGCTCTCTCTGGGCGCCATCCTGACCCGGGCGGCCCCCACCCCAACAAACGCCCTCTCCGTTTGGGGTTCCTAGCTGCCTCCTGCCCGGCAGCTCTAGGGCGGCCAGGGATCGAGCCAGGGGGACTTTGGTGCACTAGAACCTGTAAATAATCCGGAACATTTTTCTCTGTGTGTGGAAGAAACACAACTAAACATCCACGTATCCTGTAGCCAGATTAGCCTGTCCCCAGCCCCGGCTCCGGGAGGGCTGATAAAGACCGTCTCGTGCCTGCCACCAGCTGCCCCAGCTGCGGCTTGAACACCTCCGCTGCTGGGGAACTCACCCCACGCAGTTTTGCTGGTGTCAGCCCAGCGTGATAAAGGATGCGGTGTGGCTTGTGGTCAGCGTGGGTTTTAGGGACAGACAGTTCTGGGCTCCAGTCCCTGCTGTGCCACCTGTCAGCCATGTGATTCTGGACAAGTCAGTTCACCTTTGACTCCCTTCTGTTTCCTCGCCTGTGGAGCGGGGAGCACTCCGCCCGCCTGGAAGAAGGAAATGGAGCAGGAGCTGCCCAGGGCCAACGCGTCCCGCTCTGGGTAGGCCGAGGCCCTCGGGGAGGTGCCTCCCGCCCCCCAGGCAGGAACATCTGGTTACGGTTGGCATTTGTTAGCTGTGGTACCCAGACACTTCCCTTCCCAGAGATACTGGCCCCCCAGGTCCTCTCTTGAGCTGTTGAGTGAGAATTTGCAGGGCGACACCGGAAGATGCAGGCACCGAGCTCCCATGCCGGCAGCACCTGTTCAAACACAGATTCTCGGGCCCCTGTCTTGGCGTCTGAGTCTGGGGTGGGGCCCAGGCCTCTGAATTTGTAACAAGTGGCCCCAGATAATGCCTGTGACCGGGTCAATGGGGACACACAGAAGCCTGCACAGAGGAGCTGGCCTGCAGGCAAGGCCCTGGGTGGTGTTACTGCCCCACTTGGACCTGCCCTCGCTGTGGCTCAGTTTTCACAGTAATAAACCAGAGGTTCAGGTGATCTGTCAGGGCTCTTCCGGCTCTTAAAACCCCGTGATGATCAGACGGACATTCCCTGATGTCCCCTCTGCTGGGCGGGCCTGTGGTTTCCGACCCATTCCCTCTGGCCACAGAGCACTCACTCGGCAGCCTCCTGCCCGCCCCAGAGCCCCAGGGACAGAGAAGCTGCTGCCTGGGTGTGATGTGCCATTTCGTGGCCGCTCCCCTGGGCCCTCTAGGAGTCCCTGACGCAGCAGGTATCTGCGAGTCCCCTCAGGTCTGAGATCCTTTCTGCAAGCGGAGGTGGAATGCTAACTGGAGCCAGTGAGAGAAGCTGGGTTGGGGGTGAGTAGGGGAGTCCTGGATCCTTCCATGCTTACCACACTTGCAAACCTCCAGTGTCAAACTGAAGGATGACCCTGTGGAGTGCTTTCTTTCACAGATGGGCGACTGAGGCCCAGGGTGGAACACGCCTTGCCAGGCCGCCCAGGGAGGCAGTAGGGAGCATTGCAAGCACCACGTGGCTCCCGGTCTGGTCTCTGGACTGCCCCATGCCGCCCACCGAGCCTCTACTTGGACATGCACCTGGGGTGGGCAGCTCTGCCGTCCTGTGCAGACCCAGGGGAAAGACAGGGCCATCTCAGGACGGGTCCAAAGGGCCATCTGCCCCTGAGCGCCGGTCCCTTCTTTGACCTGCTCTATCAGCCTAAATCAGTAGCCCCCTCCTGGCCCCCGGAGCAAGCTCCAGCCAGGGCAGCCCCCGGGGAAGGTTTCCAGGAATATCCATGCACAGGGCAGTGAGCTCCAGAAATGAAAAGGCTCTCACACTCCCTCGCCCCTCCCACTTTCCACTCACTGTGCTCAGGGGAGTTAACAAGCAGAGGTGAAGAAGCTTGCCCTGTCCTAATGAGACCTCGTTTGAGGCAGCTGGGCCCTGGCAAGTGACAGAGAAGGAATTATTCACCGCCGGGGCCTTCATCCCCAACCTGGGCTGATGTCAGAGCCTGAGGCTCAGGGTCTAGGCTGTACGGTCCCTCACACGGGGGCCAGAGCTCCTCTGACCGCTGGCATCCTGCCCGAACGGCCAGTCTGGGGTGTGGGGCCAAGAGCCCCAGCTGGGCTCCTCAGTTCACACCTGGTGCCCGGTACAGGGCCCGTGTCCAGACCTGTGCACAAGACTGTCCCTCCCTGCGCTCTGCATCGGTAGTTGGTGAGGCAGCAGCATTTAGGAAGAACCTACTGTTTGCGTCAGTCCGTGCTCAACTCTTGGGGGAGACAAGGGGGCGGAGGACCTTTGCCAGCCCTCAGAGAGCTCACGGTCTAGGCCGTAATGCAGACCACACGTAGGAACAGAAGCAGTGATGTGCATCTGTGTCCACGGGGCCAGGGGTGTGCTGAGATCACAAGAGGAGTCCTTGCAGGGTGAGGGCTTATGGAAGGCTTCCTGGAGGAGGCTGATTGGAGCTGATTGACACACTCAGAGCATTTCAGAGGTGTCAGGTGTTGGGGGGGTGATGTGTTTGTGCCAGAGCCCCAGTGGGCATACACCTGGCCTCTCCTGGGGCAGGGGCGACAGGGAGGCCCACTGAACAGAGTGAGGGTGGAGCTCCGCTCTTGCCTCAGCCGTAGGCTCAGGTGCGTTGTCAACCTTGTGCCTGTTAGGTGGGTGTTAGCACAGAGAAGCTGCTCTGTAAGTGTCATAGGAATGAACAGCATGTAGTAGGTGCTCAGTAAGTGCGGGCTGCATGAAGGGTACGCAGCACACACTCAAGCACTCAAGTATCTGTGCACCAACTGCGTCCCAGGTCAGGAAGCAGCAGGGACAAGGAGGTGGATGTGAGGTCCGCTGTGAGTGGGGACCGGCATGATCTCCATTTCATGGATGAGGAACCTGGGGCAGAGGGAAGGTAGGAAACAGCGGGAGTCTTAGGTGGCAGAGCAGGATAGGGACGTGTCCCCTCCCTGTGAACTGCACACCGTTCTGCCCAAGCGGGCGCTGACGCAGCCCTCACTGCGACACACGCACCCAAGGGCCACAGCAGCGTCGTCTGACACAAAGGAGGAGGAGGACACAGACTCTCCAAAAAGTCATTTTAAGTCTTCCCAGGCCGATCTTCACACAGGTCCTTCCGGTACCTTCCCAGCTCCACGGAAGAGATGAATGCCCGGTGGCTAGAGAACAGGCCCTTCCGCTGAACTGGTCTCCTGTAAGGGAAGTAAACTACCTGCCAGGCCTCGGTGCCTGCAGTTTGATAATTCAGGTGTCCAGGTGGTAATGACAGCGGGGCCAGCCCAGGGGAGAGGCAGTGAGTCAGATCTGGGATTCAATAAGAATCGAAGGTGCTTAATGTCAGTACAAAGTGATTTTTGCAAATCTGCTGGCTCTGCACCAACAATGAGCTGACCGGGCACACCAGGCTCCGTCACCTGGGGCTGGGGAGCAGGGTCCCTGGGGTCTAGGCCGCGTGGGGCCTGCTTGGCATCGCCAGAGAGAGCTCTGGGCTGAGGAGTCCCCTGGGAGCTGGCAGCAGCACAGAGCTTCATGAGAGCAGACCAGGACCACGGGGTCAGGGCGCAGCCTGGCCTCCCAGTTGCCAGGACATGCCTCAGGCCCCAGAGGGAAACCTGCTGCTTTTTTGGTGGGTAGGAGGGGGTCCCCTGGAGAGTAACAAGGAAAATTTTGATGAGTATCCCTCAGTCAGCAAACAGAGATCAAGTGACTTGCCCAAAGTCCCCCCGCCAGGATTTAAGACCCAGTCCTTGCTATTAATTACTGTTATCCTGCCGTGCATGCGTGTGTGTATGTGTGTGCGCGCGCGTGCATGCATGTGTTGTGTGTTGGGGAACTCTTAATGGCAGTAGTATTAATTAGCACTTTTCTCAATATCTAATTTATTCTTCATAGAAGCCTGTTCTGCAAATGAGTAAACTAAGGAACAGAGATGTTAAGCAATGTGCTCATGGTCACACAGCCACTGGAAGGTGGGGGCAGAATTTGAACCCAGCTCCATCTAACTTTCAAACCTGAGTTCTCAGCCCAAGGCAAGACGCAGAGCACCCGCACAGAGCTCTGCCGGGACAGAGACCCCTGCCAACCAGGAGCACCAGAGGAGGCTGCTCGGAAGGCATGTCATAGCTCTGTCTGCAATGGCCCAGGGGCTCCTCTCTGGGCGCCGGAGGGTCAGGCGCATAGTGGGTGCACTCCCGGGGTTAGCTCAGAGCACGTCTCAGCGTCCACTGGGACAGTTCTCTCCGCCAGGGTGGGGTTAGGAGCTTCCGGGACGCCTGGGATTCGCGGCTCCCACTGGGAGAGGCGGGGAAAGGCCATGACGGACTGGACAGAATTAGTGTGAGTGACGATAAGGGCACGCCAGTCCCTGGGCACCCAGTTGTTGGCTCCAGGGGGGCCAGTAGGAGCAGTGGCATGTGACGAGGCCCCACCTATGGGCCACCCCTCTGTGTGATGGACTCTGGGGAGCCTGTGGGGGTTTCGATCCGTAGAACACTGTGTCATTTCTCACTGAGCTTTCGTCGGATCCTAGCCTGTCAGAGCACAGAGACCGAATGCGCTCAGGATGGCGGCTGTCTCCCCTGGGTGCTGGCAGGGAAGGGATGCTCACCTTGGGGCACCCCCTTTGTAGCTGGAGACGGCCTTTTGCAAGTCTAGCCTTTAAAATCCAGGCCCAGTTGGTGCCGGGCTTAGAAGAATCCCAAGAGCTAATTCAGAGATGCCGGTGGGTGGCAGGAGGAGAGTCCGGAAGACGTTTAGCACACGCAAGGTGCGGGCTAAATGTGAAATCCGGGGGAGACACGGGATGCTAGAGGCTGGCGGATCTGAGGATCCAACAATCGCTCCCCTCCTGGATGGGGAAACTGAGGTCTAGAAATGTGAAGGGACCCAAGGTCACCACAGAGGAGGGTGTGGCTGTTCTGGCTCATGCCTGCCCTCCCTGGGGGGTTCCCTCCCCGGTGTGTGCCTCTGACCATCCTCCCAGGCCCCTCCCCTGAGCATGCGCTGAGGCCAAGGGTTGGAGCCAGACGGGAGAGGAGTCTGCAGAGAGGCTTCTTAACTTCTAGGCCTCAGTTTCCTCATCTGTAAGATGTGGAGGACAGACAGCCTCCCAGGCTGCTCTGTGGTGTCGGTGAGATGGCAGTACCTGGCTTGTGGTAGGTGTGTGTGCAGTGGCAGTGGCTGTCACCAGCAGGGGTGGGACAGTCCTGCTTTACCAGGGGACCCAGTTGGGCATCCTCGATCTGGATTGAAGTCGTTCTTTCTTCACTAATAACCTGGTGGCATTGGGAAACCTCTTCTCTCTGTGGGCCTCAGTTTCCCCATCTGTCCAGTAAGGGGCAGGGCTGGCTAAGTGAGGAGCAGGGAGACCAGGGATTGGAGTTTGCGCTGCCAAGTCTCAGGTACATCGGCTGCCAATGAAACAGTATAAATTGCCAGCACCAGGAACGAGGACGCTCGGGGACCCCACGGTCGTGCCTCTGGGTCCTGGAGTGCCCCCCGGCCTGCCCTGGGTCCCCACCTGCAGTGGGGCCTGGGTCGGGGCCGCCACCCCCAGACAGCTGGGCCTGCTCGCGGCGCCTGGCAGGGACCTGTAAATTGAAAACATGATGTTTCCTGCTGGGGCTGGACGCGGCGTGGCCTGGAAAGCTGGCCGCGCTCGCAGGAAGCCCTGCACCCCACGGCAGCGCCGCCAAAACAGTGGAAAAGTAAAACCTTTGCAAGGCTGTGTTTCCACTGTCAACAGGGGATGGAAGCCGGCCCCTCTGTCCCGCGCTGGCCTGCCCTGTCCTCGGCGGCACCTCAGCTGCCCGCTTTGCCCCGGACAGAGCCTCTCTGAGCAAGGGAGCCTGTGCCCCCATCCACCAAGCCTGCAGGTTTAGCTCATTCGCGCCTGGACTCATCAGTCCTCACACCCGTCCTGCGAGGGGGCAGGAGATAACAGCACAGAGAAGTGCAGGACTCGCCCAGGGTCACACAGCCAAGTGGGGCAGACCCGGTCCCCTCCGCCCTGCCCGGGAGCATCCTCACAGGGCCTGCAGCCCCTGGGGGGAGGCTCTCGTGTGTGGCCATGTGCCTAAGCGACGCTGCTGCCTAATCCAACACCACTTTCTTTGACCGTGTCCTGTAAACAGAGAACCTAGCACAAGTAGCATCTAGCGGAAGTGACTTATTTGTTTTAAACTTTAATAACGCCCTTTTCCTTATTGTAAAGTAACACGTGCTTGTTTTATAAATTCTGGAAGTCGCAGAAAAGTGAAAGAAGAAAATAAAACTGCCCCTAATCCCCTCACCCTAGTCAACATGATTCCGACCGGCCACAGGGGGACCTGCAGAAGGGCCGGGCAGTGTGCCTCTCCGTGGTCAGCTTGCTCTGGGCTGGGCTGGGTGCAGTGGGCTGCTGTTTGGGGATGCCTTGGGGAGAGGCTCCCAACGCTGCAGCACACAGTTCATAGGGAGGGCAGCTTGGCCCGGACCCCAAGCTCAAGAACCCAAGTGGCTCTGACTTGCTGGGTGACACTGTCTGGCCTGTCTCCACATCTCTGAAATGGGCGAATGGGCTCAGCCAGCCGGCCCGCCCAAAGCCCTGCTTGCCGGTGGCCTGCAGACACAATCATGCCTTCCTCTGCTCAGTCAGTCCACAAACAGAGAGTGCCTACTGTGTGCAGGTGGCGGGAAGGCACATAAACAAGAGGCCCCATTCTCCCCGCAGTTGCCCTTCCCACGTTCCTGCCACTTTGAACCTGCAAGCCCGCCCAGCCCTCCTCCTCCCTGACCCCTCACCAGGCGGGGGCTGGAGCCCAGCCAGGTGGGGGCAGCGGGGGTTCCAGGAGGAGATGTCTCCGGCCCCCTCCACCCTGCCGACGTCCTTGGTGGCCCTAAGACAGCTTTATGGAGGACAGATTGAGCCTGTCTTCCTCCTGGCAGGTTTATTTCTTCATTTTTCAAGCCCCACTCTGATTTTTCCATGTCGGCTTCCCTGCCCCCACCCCTCCCTCTGCATGCTTCCTTCCCTCCCCCTCGAATCTGCCAGCCCAGCCGGAGAGGGGCCACTGGCCTCCAAGGTGATTGAGTTATGGGGGTGGGGAGACGGGCCAGGGTTTTCTGCGTGAGTGCTCTTGGCTTCCTGCCCTTGGAGGGGGGCCGGGGAGGTGTGTGGTGGTGACTGTGAGGGCCCTGCTCTCCCCTGTCCAGCCCTGCTCAGGGCTTGGTTTCACCTCCAGCAGAATGGGCAGGTCCCGCCCAGGCCTGGGGGAAAGGACAGGCGCCAGGGGCAGTGTGACTGCTGGTGTGCGCACGAAAATGTCTGAACATCTGCGTCTCTGCACTGCAGGCCAGGGACCCAGGGAGAAGAAGAGAAGGGAGGATGGCATGGATAACACACCTACTGTGTGTGCCAGCCCTCCAGGGGTAACTCAGAGTCACCGCCACTGCTTTAAACCCTGCAACAGTAACTGCAAGGGTCGCTATTTAATATTCTGGTAGCAACAGGTGAGAGTTACTGGCGTCATTCGTATAGCTGAGAAAGGTACCCGGTACAAACGCCTTCTTCCACTGACCTGTGGCTCCTGGAGGACAGGGGTCTGTCTGGGTCCTGCCTGGATCCCTAGGACTGTGGAAGGCCAGGGACCCGATAAGTGCCTGATGAACTCAGCACTACTGCAGTAAAACCAGAGAGGTGAAGTAACTAGCCCAAGGCCACACAGCTGGAAATAGAGCCCCATTTTGCCTGGCCCAGCACCCGCACTCATCCTCTGGGGTACCACGCTGCCTCTGCCAGTCTGATATTGACAGGCAGGCTTGCCATCTAGCTGGCATTGCCCAGCCACTTGCTCCAGAGCTTGGTGGCTCCATCCAGGTCTCAGCCCCTTCCGTCCCATGTCTGTTCCTCTGCCAGTCAGGCCCCATGGGCTGCCTCTCTGCAGCTTGCCTCTTCCTCAGGAGGGAGGGGCCGAGAGGGGAAGCCCCTCTCTCTGCTCCGCTCCACACGCCAGCTCATGGAAATGAAAAACACATTGGTTTCATTATCCCTAGATTGAATGAGCAGGGTTGCCATGGTGACAGCCACCTCAGGCCTGCGAGGGGGCAGGGGAGGGGCTGGTGAGGCCAGGGCAGGTGGGGACTGGGCAGTGGGTGAGCAGGCACTCCAGGCAGGCCGGCCACAGGGACAACCGCCTCCTGTGCCCCTTGCCCTCTCTCGAAGCCCAACTTCATGTCACCATCCCTGGGCAGAGGGAGCAGGCAGGCCATGGAGGCAGGCGCCATCCTCCGCCGGCTTGCCTCTCATCCACCTGGCCTGCTGCCTGTTCCTTTTGGAGAGTTGTTGAAGGTGGAGGTGGGCTCGAGCCTCCCACCCTCCTGAGAGTCAAGGAGACAAATGGAGAGAGGTGGGAAGAGGGGACAGGTGGGAACCAGGACAGGGGCCATGGGCCTGCTCCCACCTGGGGATCAGTCCTGGGGCTTCACTGGCCTCCCAGGCAGCGTGCCCTGAGAAGACACCTAAGGGTGCCAGGCTGTGCACACCCAAGTACACCTGGGACCAGGGTCATCCTAGTGACCCTGAACCCCAGCATCACCCTCCTTAAACAGGCTGAGTCTCCATCCAGTAGGTGTGATGGTGGCCATGGGGATGACCACAGGGGTCCTGGCCCAGTGCGTCTGCAGGTGTCCTTGGCTCCAGGCCTGAGCCAGCTGCCCTGATGCCCAAGTGAGCCCTCTTCTCCCAGGGCCTGGGTGCCACCCGCCTGCTCTGCCCCACGGGCTTGTCACCACAGGTCTTGAGTCTGAGGGCAACACTTGGGCCCAAGTGGGCCCAGGTCCAGGAGAAGCTGGCTGCACCCCCTTCCTCCCCCAAATGCCCGGAGGTGTGGAGCCTGAGCTGCCGCTCTGAAGTGGCCCCAAGCAAGCACTGCCACTCACCCTGGGAAGGCAGCCTTTGCCATTCTCTCCATGTGACCCAGGGCCAAAGGCACCTGCTCAGGGGGCATCAAGTGCCCACAGAGAATTTTTCCTTCCCGGCAGGGCTGGTCAGAGAGGCTCAGTGCTGGCCCCAGCCCCAATTCCAATTTTGACCCCACAACCTTGACCCCACCCCCAGACCCGGCCTCCACCCCAGCTTCTTGTACAGCCCACCTGCACAC